TAGTTAGACACTGCCCGCGACCCACTAGCGTCACGACCACAAGGGGCGCGGCATGGTACAGGTGCGACTCCTAAACTCAAAACAAAAAGACAAGAGTCTGCCCTTTGTATGTACGAGCAGACTTTTGATCCGACAAGGACCCCTCAATCGAGCTCCACTGTTGTCGTACCAGTAAGTCAGAATGCCCAGCTTGAAATGGGAAGTTCACGCTGCGAAGCAAAGACCTCGACCGAGGTCTTAGCTTCGTTATCGATCGGATACCAACTCCGATCACCTGACTCGTTCCCTGCACGGTCGGTTACAATATAGGTCGAGCAAAACCCCGATAATGAACAGACAACGTACACTATTTAATACGCATGAAAAACAAAGAAAATAGAGCACACACAACATAAAAGTATAATATTTCATTTCCAAAGTGCGGGCAGGGCCCATTGTTCAAAGGTTACAAACATGGCACGTAGGCCAGAAACAACTATATCAAAATATGGCACGCAGGCCAGAAAATAGAAATACAACAAAAAACACTAAACAATTTCATTCTCCTCGGGTTGGTCGCCCACCACAGCTTGACCGTCATCTTCCTCTTCAGCTTCTGACGCAACCACACGACCCTGGACCACTTGATGATAAGGGTCTCTGCCCTCAGTGATGAGCTGGACCTCCGAGTTCACGATCTGGAGCTGTTCCACAGTACAGTTGAAGCCCACTTTGAGAGCCCCTAGACAGTCCTGCTCAAGCTCCCGTATCTTCGACACCAGGTTGTCCCGGGACGCCATAAACTTCTCCTCAACAGACTCATCCTCAGCAGGCCAAGCATCCGCTTCCAACTCGACGATCTTCGCCAAGAGCTTTGTCCTCTCCTCGCCAGCGGCCTTCACCTGTTTCTCCACTTCGCAGTAGAGCTTGAGCTAGATAACATTTCTTTCATTGGCCTGGACGAGGTCAGCCTCCAGTTTCTTCCTCATAGCCTCGACGGTCGCGAGATCGTTTTGCAGCTTGGTTAGGTCAGCCGAAGAGCAGGTCTCGTTGTTGAGGACCAAAACCGTTTTGAAGACCCACATCACCGAAGCCATATCCTCAGATAAGGCTTTCTTCCTTACCTTATGATCAACGCCCAAGATGGCCTTGGACTCAGCAGCACTCACGACCGGGGAATTGGCCCCACAGAAGAAATTGGGCTGCAAATAACATGGCGAGAACACGAACTTCTCTGCAGAAACACTCTCTGTAAGGCCGATGGTCTCGGGCTCACTAACCCGCTGATTTTTTGGAGTCCCCTGCAAAGATGGAGATTGGCTACGCTGGGGGGAAGAAGACGAACCTCTGGGCATATGGTCGGGACCGAGCATCTGCTGTACCTGGGTGACTCTCCCTTTACCGGCCTTTTTTCCACCTTTGTTGGCCGCCAACTTCTTTACACGTTCCTGCATGCTCGACATATCACCAGAAAAATAAAAAATAAACAACTTAGCAAACCGCAAACCAACGACAGCAATACAGAGAGCCCGAACGAGGGGCGGGCCCGCTACCTAAAAACCGTAAGGCTTCCTCGTCAGACGCACACTCGAGGAGGGTCTTCGTGTTTATCAACCGCGACTTCTAAAGAATCTCCCCGCGAGCGTCGAGGATAAAATTCCCGTTCGGAGTCACACATTTCACAGGAGTGAAGCCGGAGACAAATTCGACCAGGTTCTGGTAGGCCACCTGGTCATCAGCATCCAACGAGTCCGACCTGACTATATAGTTGTTCGTGCCCTTTTTGAAGTTCTCCTCCGTCCATTCCAATGGAAATTTTGGCTTGAAGACCTCCTTCGGCTGCCCGTTCTCCTCCCGGACCACGTGGTTATACAGCGAGTCCACGGTTGTATGGGTAACGGGCTTGAGAATGTAGTACTGGTCTTTGAAGGTGCGGATGGAATCTAGATACGCCCGAAACAGTCTCCTTGGATACTTCAGGGACACCTAGTTGTGTCGACCTTCAAACGTCTGTCATTGAAGATGGAAGATACAGAAGAAAAGAGTGAGCGTGGTCCCAACATTGAGGTACCGACATACGAGCTCGTACGCCCGCACGAACACAATCGTGTTAGGGTGAAGTTGTGAGGGCGCCATCTGCAGCCAATCAAACACTTCTCGTTGGAAATTAGTAAAGGGTGGACGCAGGCCCGCTTCTCGGAAGGTAAATTCGTACATAGGGAACCTCATCCCTTTGAAAGACGAGCATATCCGATGGTGTGCTTGGGGTTTATACACCTGCCAGTTTGTGGAGGAACCCTCACAATGGTCTTCGACAGTGGCATAGGCGTCAGATTCATCCGCAGCAAAGCGAGAGGGAATACTCAGGGGCTCCTGCCCGGCCCAATCGACGGAGTATGTCATCGTTCCTCGCCGGTCTGCGCTACCGGGGAATCAGGCTCGTCGTCAATCTCAACGACCCCGTCAATTCGTGCAGCCATCTTTACCTGAAAAGCAGAGTAAAACGATGAATTCGACATTCCAGATCAAATCCACCCTTCCACTGCAAATCAAGTGAAAGGGTGAAAAGAGGGGCACGTGGCCGACGGACAGGCCTCTCCAATCGAAAACACCCAACTAGGATGCTCATCTAGGAGAAGTTCTCCCCCACCACGACATCAAGAGGCGAGGATATGATTCCCGAGACCTCAACAGAAGTCCCTAGGATCCCCAACGGGTCCTCGAAGCCTCCATCTAGAGTTCTCAGGACCCCTATCCTAGGTCCTCGGGACCCTCATCAAGTCCCCAGGACCTTCATTTAATGTCCTCGGGGACCCCATCCCAGGTCCTCGAGACCTTCATCTGGTCCTCAAGACATTCATCTTATGTCCTCGGGGTCCACAGGACCTTCATCAGGTCCTCAAATCACTCATCCTATGTCCTCAGGGACTTCATCGCCGACCCCTAGGGGCTTCATCAGAAGCATCATCAATTCAAAGAAGTTATGGCGTATTCGCCGAAAACTTCATAGTTTCCCGGGGAGCTTCATCAAATTCACCGGAGAAACTATCGGAAAATGAAAAAAAAACTAGAGTAAAACGGGTGTGACTTACTTGGTACGGTGGTTCTTGGAAGACGGGATGACGGCGGACGACAAACGTCTTGAAGAGGAGAAGGGGAAGCACGAAAAGAGAAGAGAGAATGTCTTGAACGGAGGAAGGGAAGCGTGCGACTGAAACGAACTTAACCCCTATTTATAAGCCTAACACGGGACTCGGGGCATCCCTAGGCACTTGAGTGCCCTACTCCTAGCCTCCCTAGGCATTAATTTCCCTGACACGTGGCGGCACCAGACACCTCACGCACCCGTTCTAATTCCCATCTTGCCCTGAAACACGCGTGCTCGTTCCATCTAGCATCTCCCACACGCGCGGAGCAGTTGTACCCCGCCGGTAACACGAAGAACAGCTTATGGCCACGGTAAGAGCTCGACCTACTACAACATCCTCGACTTTGATACTGACACTTAAGTAATTACTCCTCCACTTATGAGCAACGACTTGGGGGGCTCCTGTTTTGGATTGGGTCGAGACTTGCCCCACAGTCGGGCTGGCCCAACCCAATACTATGAGGGAAGGTCCAACGAGGCCTAATCCTCCCCAGGTCAGGCACACTTGATTCTACCGTCGGGGAGACCACTACTTAGCACGGGGAGAGCTCACACGTTTTCTCCACATTCTCCACGTGTTCCCCACGCGAGAACACATCATTAGGAAACTACCCACTTCCGAAAGAGTTGGTCAGTCCACCTTTTGAAGAACACGAGATAGTTGATCCAGAGCGAAGACCACGTGTTGGTCTTCCCTACGCCACGTAAGCCCTGGCGGTTACTCTATTGGGCCTTGTAATCCAGCCCAAGGCTAAGTAACCATTGACCCTGCGCTAGGGGCACATTATAAATACCCTATTTCACTAGAGGGTCAGGTATTCTATTCTCTACATTTATTCTTTCTGTACTTGCGCTTTTTAATTCCGTTACTTACTTAAATATCGGAGTACCTTGCAGGTACACCCCCTCCTCCTTCACAACACCGGTGATCACAAGAGCTCACGACGCGTGAGAGACTGCTAATTCTTTTTTGATCAAGTAAGATAAAAAAAAATAGAAGTGTATGAAGTGATGATGAAGAAGAAAAATAAAAAATAAGTATTTAGTATTTCTCGATAAATATTTTAAACTTTTAAAATTTAAATGTGTAATAGACATTTAAATAAAAAAATTATCAAAATGAACTAATTTCACAAACATAACTATACTTAAGATTAAACTGAGAAACTAAATAGTAACACTAGTTAAATAAAAAGTAGTAGGAAGTCAATAATTAATTTAGATATCTTCTTGTTAAACCAACTCAATTGATAGAACCCAAACTTGATTGATAATTGTGTAAAAATACTAGACTAGAAAATCTTACCTTTAATTATTCACCTTTAAAAGGTAAAACTCTAAAAATAAAAAATAAAACACTTAAGGAGATATCATGCTAATTAATTAACTAAGTTACCTTAACTTAAAACTTAAAAGTATTTTTAACAATACAATTAAAAACTTTATTAATTAACAGTAACAATCAATACACTTGGAGGATATAACTTTGGAAAAGCCTCACCAATTTCCCTATATTCCTCTACTCTTGAAGAAACTCATCATATACACAGTACATGCTTTCATCATTTTACTTCTCAAGCACTCACAATTTCACACATTTTTTGCATCATTCAAGGTTATCCTAAAATTCAACATAACAACAATCATTATTGATTAACATGATAATTCATCAAGATGACCCCAAATAAGTCTAGCACTTCTGCTAATGATTTAACTTTTCAATGTTGCATCCACCAAGAACACAATACATCATTATAACCTACTAATTCAGAACAAATGCTTAATGAACATTATTAATCAAAACAATTCTAGAAACAAAAATGAAAATTGCCAACCAATCACTTTTGTCTTTTTCTTAGGAGAATGTTATGCATCAGTAAACTTCAACATGCCATTGTTTGTTCTTCTTGAGTTGTGAAAGCTTTTCTTCCCAACTTTCTCCTCTCTTCTCAGCAACCCTTTTCAGTGTTTCTTGGATCCCAGGCATCATTCCTCTCAGACCACAGAAATAGATGTGTGCTCCATTATCCAAGAGTTTGAAGATTTCATCGCTGTATTCCTCAATCTTATCTTGCACATACATTTTGCCGCCGTTCTTGTTCTTTTCCTCTCTGCTAAGTGCTCGGTTGTACCGGAAGTTGTCCGGGTAATCCTTAAGGTATTTGGTGAACTCGTCGTCGTAGAGAAGACTATCGGCATTTGCAACACCGAGGAAGAGCCATGCTAGTCCACCAAACTTGAATGTTGGGACTGATTCCATGAACATTCGACGAAGATAGCCTCTATATGGAGCAACACCAGTGCCGGTGGCAATCATTATATGGGTAGCATTTGGATCGTCCTCCGGCAAAAGCATTATCTTCCCTGAGGGGCCTGCCCAAGAAGAAGCAAGTTTGCAATCTCGTTAGTTGACAAGCTAACAATGTTTAGGAATCTTTCACAAATACCCTCAATTGTGCCGTGCATGTTCGAAACATTAAACTGTAACTAAGCATTGTTAACCACCAATCCAAACATGCACTTAGTGCAAGAATTAAAATTGATTAACCAGACAACAACTAACAGGCAACATAAAGAAGTGGTGTCTTACCTGCGATCTTAATTTTGTCTCCCGGTTTTGAGTCACACAAATAATTACTACAAACACCGTTCTTTGAAGGATCTTCCTTCCCTGTCACGGGATCATAATAAACAGCACGACGCACACACAAGCTGGCTGTTTTGCCATCAAAATTGTCTCCATACCTTGTGGAAGCAATTGAATATAGTCGGACATTATGGGGGGTCCCGGGTTTTTTGGGATTTTCACCCTGCCATCCATGTACAATAGTATTCATGAGTGGTGAATGAAATTATTTCAGGATTTAACTGCGTGAACTCACATATGATCTCAAAAAAAGAAAGATAAAAAAAAGGTACCATTGTGAATTCACATTCATTATTCGGATAGAAAAAGTGGTAAAAGCATAAAACGGTATCATGAACAAGTGACTTACTGGTGGAATAACACCATAACTCTGACCCTCCCAGTAAGGAACATTTCCATCATGATTGATCACAATATGACAAGTTTCCCCGGGAGCCTTTGGCCCTACTAATCTTTCGACGGAAACAATTGTTGCTGTATAAGGCTCTTTAGGCTTGTGTAAGTTCAACGGAGGCTCCGTAGGATTTTCCAATTCCAAAGGGGAAACCGTAACTTTCTGCACACTTGCTTGTTGAACTGACATGCAAATCACATTGTGATTCCTCCAACCACAGTTCTTAGCTTTCATGCCCAACATAAATACTGGCGCCCATGATTTATCCCGAACGTTTAAGTTCGATGCCTGCAACATCAAGTGCAATTTACTTTAAAAATACACATCATATAAACTAGGAACGAAAGTCAGCGTAAATCTTTGTCGAAACTTTATGACATGGATAAGGTGTATAGAAAAGTTTAGTTCCTTCCGAGTTCATTCATAAAGAAACATCCATCAATCTCGATAATAGTTCCTTCAAGATTTCTCAAAAGCCATACAGTATACCAAATCAAAGTAGTCATAAACTATAACATATGAATAGATCCTTCATACAGCTAGGAAAATTAAAGTAAAAATGAATTCAACAAGACAAAACAAGTAAAATCATTGATATTACCGACCACATAGTTAGAGCAAGTAGAAATATCAAACCTTAAACGCAGATCTTCTGACGGAGAAATCATTGCTGACAGGAACAGTTAAAGCCATCTGCAAAAAAAAAAAAAAAAACATAAATCAAATTTAGTTGAATAACCAAGAATCTCAAAACATACAACTAAATAAAAACTACAAATTGGGGGTAAATTTCTCAGCTTAGAAGATTCGAAATAAATATTCATTCACCACCCTAGGAAAAAAACAAAAAGTAAAGAAACAAATATAAAGGTGAAATTTTGATTGTAGATTGAGTGACCCATTTGTAGATAGAAAGCAAAAAAGGGTAAGAGATGGAGAAAGAGAAGTGAGATTACCTGAGACACAGCCAAATGCGACATGATGAAAAGGAGTGTGATCTGAAGTGATTGAAGAAGAAGAAAAGAGGTTGATTGATGAATATATAGCAGGAATAAACAAACCAAGTGAAAGAAGAATTTGTGTTTGATGATCCTTTGGAGAGACGGAAAGGTCGTGTTTTTCCCTTTGGCTCCTCGGAGTGTTGTGTTGCTCCTCAGTCTTCACCCACCAACCTATGCCAAAACTAAGAATTGCCAATTCTCATTTTCCAAAACAACCAAGTTTTAATTTCGTTATTATTTGAATTAAATAATTACTTTTATATTTTTTTTATCAAACAAATATGATAGTACTAATCTTTTAGTTTCTTTCTTAAAAAAAGGAAACCAATAATTTCTCAAAGAATTCAATGTTTTCTTTTCACTAACCAATTTGTTATTGTTGTTAGGATATTCTTTTCAAATTAAGGAAAGTGTTCTCACAATTCATGGTTAAATGTTTCAAAAATCCATATTCTTTGTATTTAGATGAAATATAATATGCATTAATGTTGTAAAAAAATATATATTATTATTAATTAATTGTAACAATTAGATATATTTAATGAGTGTTGAAAATAGGGATGGTAATGGTTAGAGTTTGTGCAGGATACTATATTCTCATATCTGCAATTTGAAAAAATCTCTGTATCCAAGCTTATACACCCTTGGACGCCAAAGTTAGCATTTGTACCCTAACCCTATGAGAATATTATATCATAGGGTTGTCACACCCTCATTTTCACCTTTAGCCTTTATACCCTACATTTGTCATATCATGCCTTGTTCTTTTGCATTTTTGAGCATGCGAGTTCACAAGGGACGATTTAGGTCGATTTGTTATGATCCATTTCAAATAAGGGAATTTGCTTATCATGGGCTACATGGGAGAAAATGTTCCACACCTAAGGTTTGGTTCAAGTTGGAAAGTCTACTCATGTAGATTTCTTCAAGGAGAAGTTACTTGAAAAAAAATATTAGGATATTCAAGATATATTCCTAATGACCATGAAATGCAAGGCATAATTCAAGATTGTTTCACCCAATTTTGTTTCAAATTCTTGATCAAGTGGAATTCAAATTTGCAAAGCATGAGTCAAGATCACAAGTCCATAATTCAAGACTTCATCCATTTCAAGCTTAATGGTTCTAAGGAAATCCATCATGAATTCAAGATTGGAGGCAAGAATATTACAAAGATAAATTTTTATGACATTACAAGAATGCCATTTGTTACAAGATTTCCAACTCTAAGTAATGATTAGAAATTAATCTATTTCTAATCTTCATTCAAGTCTCTAATCAAATCCATGATATGGTACTCTTCATGCCACGCCAAGTTTTCATGTGCTATATTATGCTCACAAATATCCAAAGAAAAATACTTAAGAGTTAAATCAACATTGGTATGTTTCAAGATCAAGACCATGTATGTTCAACCATGAGCAATAGGAATGCAGTCCAAAACAGCCCCATGCAAGAAGTGGCAATATGTATCATGTTACAAAATCATTTTATGTCACAAAATCAAGAGAACAACATGTGACAATGCATCTAAAATATCAGAATTTTCAAAGTGCTGTCAAAGGATAGTAGCATTGACCATAAAAGCTGTCAAAACACATAAGCAACCAATGGATACAAGGATGGATGGCAATGTAGAGTGCTGCAGAAGAAAATACAACAAAACATGCATAGAAATGGAAAGGAAGTGGGGCTGCACCAAGAAAGTGGTAATAGATGTTGCCAAGAATGGAAATTCTGAAAATGGGAGAATGTGCAAGAGCTATGGTTTTGGTACAACAGGAAAAAGCAGCAAAAAAAAGTGGAAAAAGGGCTGTAAACAAAAGGGAGTTCATTACACACAAAACAGAGGATACACAATACATGGAGGAATCCATTCACTATCATTCACATTCACAACATTGAGAGGGCAAGAGAGAAAAAAACCAGAAAAAGTGAGAGCAAAAGATAGAGAGAAAACCAGGAAAAAAAAAGAGTCACATAAAGATACAAGAGGATTCTTGAGAAGCAAAGCCTTCATAACATAGAGTGAAGGGTGAAGGGAGCATCCAACAAAAACAGTGGAGGACTTGCAAGAAGAATAGAAAGCTCTTGGGTATCCATTTCATCAAACCTTTCCCTTTTCACTTTTTGCTTTTATATTCATTTTACTTCCTCTTTTATGTGTTGTTGTACCGAATATATCATGTAAGGTTCTAAAGGTTCCAAAAAACCATTTTTAAGAACCAATAGAAAGGAAGAAAACCACAAAAGACAGCAAAAAATACAGCAAATACTGTATTTTTCGCTTCAGGTCGCGGCGCAAACTGTCAAAAACAGAATGAAAACTTTTCTCAGTTCGCGGCGCAAACACCCTTCGCGGCGCGAACATGCAAAAACAGAATGAAAACTTCTCTCAGTTCGCGGTGCAAACACCCTTCGCGGTGCAAACTGATCAGTTTGTTTATTTTCTTGTTGTTTTTACCTTATGCTTTTTTTTTGTAAAGGGTGTTAACCCCATATGTTTGTATGATTTTAGTATGTGAATATTGTTATTGTCCTTGTTGACTTTTGATTCCAAAAACCATTTTCAAAAACAAACTCTCGATTTTATCAAGCCATTTTCGACCATGTAAGTCGGTTGCCTTGTGCACCGCCAACGACCTTGTCCGTATCGCTTCAAATACATCTTTACAAACAATAAACCTTGATCCAACATCAAGTGATCCTTCTTCTTATAAAAAACCCAAAACACAATAAAATATACGATTATAATTATGCACTTTTAAAGTGGTGGAGAAGGAATGAGAATGGAATCCTCCTACACTCATTCTGAATGTTTTGAATACAAGACACTCGACTTGGTTATTCGAGACATTCATCTCTATCCAAAGTCTTTTGTATAATCCTAGTCAAGAATAAATTCTTCCCTAAGAAAAACCTAAAAATAACATCAACTCATCAAACTATTTTTCGCCTTAGGGCATCAATCCGAAAACCCCTTTTTCAAGGTATAAAATCAACCAACAAACCACTATTTCATAAGCCTCCGAACTACGGAGCTCTGATTCTTCACTTCTTTTAAGTGAGGATACGTAGGCACAAGGGCCACAATCCTTGGCGAGCATTAAAATAAATAAACCCAACCCCTCTTTTCCCAAAACAAGCAAACTCTTAATAAAAACACCCATTCACGCCAAATAACCTAGAAGGTTCCCATCGAGTACGATGGATGCGAGGGGGTGCTAACACCTTCCCCTCGCATAACCGACTCCCGAACCCTAAGACTTGGTTGCGATGACCACGCTCTTTCCCAAAGGTTTTATCGCTATTTCCCTTTCCCTCCTTGGGATAAATAAAATCCGGTGGCGACTCTGTGTCATTTTTCGCGTAGCGACAAGGGTTACCTGCATTTCTATTAAAAATAAATATATCAGTTATAAAATATTATATTATTTTAAAATTTTAAAAGTATTAAAAAATTATTGTTGAAATAATCGAACACTTATGTTAAACATGTAATGATTTAACATTGATAATACACTTTTATATAATAATATAAATTAAAATATATAAATATAAATTAAAAGACATAAATATATTGTGCGAGTATGGGGTGGGTGTGAAGAAAGTGAGGTTAATCTGAAAGAGTTAAAATCAGGGGCACCTTACATTTGTAAGTTGTTGAAACATGCAAACAGAAAGAATCCCATTGAGCCAAGAAAAAATTAGAGATTTGTCACATAAACATACACATTTAATGTAACTAAGTGTGACAAAACTTTTGACTTGTTTGGTTATGATGGCTAAATCATAGTCCCTCAAGTACTCAAAATTCTGCCATTGGAACAAAGAAAGAAAAAAAAGGATTTTGTAAGTTCCATAATTTTCTTAGTCATAAAACTTCTCAATGTGTCTTTTTCTGGGATTTGGTTCGGAATGTGTTGAAGGAAGGGAGACTCAAGTTTGTTGAAAAACAGAAGTTCTAGAATGAAGCTAACTCTGGTCCCAATGTAAAAGAGGCCCTTTTATATAAAATATGGAGATATTGATGGTTGATGTCATTGTCAGCCTAAACACCAAAACTGGTGAGGTGAACATGCTCGACTATAATGAGCAAGTAAAGATGGTCTATCCTAGGGCTGAAAATGAGCTGATAGATTTCTTGAACAGGTGTAAGCTCAAAGATTATGAGGTTATGTTTTATCCCTGTTACAGTTTAGTCTTTGACAAGCAAGCTGCCAAAAAGGTGGAAAAAAACTAGACCTCATACTTACCAACCATAAAGGTCTGGTAAGCAGGATAAGCAAAGAAGCTTTGTCTTCGACAAGAGGGGAATACCTCATAGAGTATAACAAAGTAGCACCTACATCCCACTAGTTAATGTTCCCTTAGGTGAGTGATTTAGTCCTGCAAAGAAAATTGATAGTGATCAATGTCAATGGAGATCAATCAAATTTTGTATGGGTTCATCGCACCAAGATATTTCACAAGTATCCAAGAACTATTATTATACTCCTAAGAATTACCCAAGAAAGAATCCAATAACCAAAACTCAGTAGAGGAGATATCAACGTAAAAAGAAAGTTGCCTTAGAGGCAGAAGGCTCAATCAAGAGTGGTAGTGTATAAACTACCAATGAAGGTCAATCGAGCAAAAGGCATGTAGCAAAGGTTATTTCCCCTTTGCAACTTTAGGTGAAGGCCATGCATGACCAAGACGGGGATATGGCCACTGACAATTTCAATTATGGCTCAGAACCTGAGCTAAACACATTTTTTAACATGATATCAGTGTTATCGATTGAGTATAATACGGTCACCAAGGTGACCGAAGAAGAAGATGATGATTTGGTGGAAGAGTAGTCGAAGTACAAACCCTTGTGTTATTATTTAATGACAAACGACTCTGTTAATGAAGACAAGGCCATATTTGAAAGATTTGATATGTTGATGAAACAACATCTAAAACCCCTGTTAATAAGAGTTAGAGTTCAGAAT